GTCCTGCGGCCCCTGCACTTGCATGGGAGACCCAAAAGAAGCTCCTGGCTCCTGGCTTCAGATTGGTGCAGTTCTGGCTGTCACAGCAAATTGGGGAGTGAGCCATCAGATGGAAGACCTCTCTTTCTCTGTCTCTCTCTCTGTCTCTCTTCTTTCTGTGTAACTCTGACTTTCAAATAAATCAATAAATCTTTAAACAAATAAAATAAAATAAATAAAACTGGAACTAATATTTGTTATTAGAAGTCTCAGGCCAAGATGAGAGGCTGACCATTTTCTTATAAAGGAGGATCCATTCATAGGATTCAATTGCAATTGCATTTTCATAAACTCAGCAGAGACTGGTGTATCTTCTTGTATTCTCACCGAAATACAGTGTGGTAACTAAGGAGACCAAGCTGGGGAGAGAGGAGATATTGCATTGCAATCCTTCCCAATATTCCTAGATGACTCTAATCATGAATCTCCACACATTTGGGAATAGCCTGCCACCAATCCTACTCACAAGCACCTGAGGAGTGACCAAAGACCAAGAGGGGGAGCCCTTTTCTTATACAAGGTCAGGCAGAAGAGGGCTTGAGTACTGTATCTCACACGCACAGATGTCACTCTAAGGTAAGTGACATGTACATGTGTCTACACACACACGCCAGATCTCTAGGACTTTTTCATCTAAAAATTCCATTTCTACTGAATAGCATACCCTCCCTACCATCCATAACTACCCTTCTACTTTATGCTTCTCATATTCTATTTTTTTAAAAAAGATTTATCTTATTTAATTGAAAGAGTTACAGAGAGAGGTGGAGCCAGAGAGTGATCTTCCATCCACTGGTTCACTCCCCAAATGACCAAAACAGCCACAGCTGAGCTGATCTGAAGCCAGGAGCCATGAGCTTCTTCCAGACCTCCCACACAGGTGCAGGGGCCCAAGGACTTGGGCCATCTTCTACTGCTTTCCCAGCCATAACAGAGAGCTGGGTCAGAAGTGGAGTAGCCAGGAATTGAAGAGGCACCCATATGGCATTGCCAACACTGCAGGTGGGGCTTTAAACCACTGCACTACAGCACTGACCCCTCTGACTACTTTAAATACTTCATATGTTGGAATATTAGAGTATTTGTCCTCACTGTTCATCCATGGCACAGGATTTTCTTTTCTCTGTGCCTGCATAACTTTCCACTGTAAGTGCAGGCCACACTAGAAGTCTCAGCTACAGTGAATTATGCTGTGGCAAACAGTGTTAATACTTTATTTATATGAACTAATTTTCTTTCTTTCTTTCTTTCTTTCTTTCTTTCTTTCTTTCTTTCTTTCTTTCTTTTTACAGGCAGAGTGGACAGTGAGAGAGAGAGAGAGAGAGAGAAAGGTCTTCTTTTGCCAATGGTTCACCCCCCAATGGCTGCCGCGGCCGGCGCACTGCACTGATCCAAAGGCAGGAGCCAGGTGCTTCTCCTGGTCTCCCATGGGGTGCAGGGCCCAAGCACTTGGGCTCTCCTCCACTGCACTCCCTGGCCACAGCAGAGAGCTGGCCTGGAAGAGGGGCAACTGGGACAGAATCCGGTGCCCTGACCGGGACTAGAACCCAGTGTGCCAGCAACACAAGGTGGAGGATTAGCCTATTGAGCCATGGTGCTGGCCTATATGAACTTTTTTTTTTTTTGACAGGCAGAATGGACAGTGAGAGAGAGAGACAGAGAGAAAGGTCTTCCTTTTGCCATTGGTTCACTCTCCAATGGCTGCAGTGGCTGGCGCACCACACTGATCCCAAGGCAGGAGCCAAGTGCTTCTCCTGGTCTCCCATGGGGTGCAGGGCCCAAGCACTTGGGCTCTCCTCCACTGCACTCCCTGGCCATAGCAGAGAGCTGGCCTGGAAGAGGGGCAACTGGGATAGAATCCGGCACCCCGACTGGGACTAGAACCTGGTGTGCCAGTGCCACTAGGGGGAGGATTAGCCTATTGAGCCACGGCGCTGGCCGATGAACTTTCAATTCCTTTAGATATATAATCAGAACTGAGATTATCAGATCATATAAAAATTTTATTTTTGATGTAATGAACATTCATACTGTTTTCTGTGGTGGTTGCATCATTTTACATTACCACCGACACTGTACATGTAGCTTAAAATCTTTATATCTTCATCAAATTATGCACCTGGGTTTTTTGTTTGTTTTTAAAGAACAGGAGCAGGAGGTCATATTGGCCATTACTGGCCATGGTTATGAAGATCCCTCTGCACTTGCACTCAAGGTGAATCAGCATTGGGCTTCATTGTCAGTGTGGTGAAATTGCCCATCACCCAGGGAGAAGTGTATGACTGTTAAGTACATTTTCAACTTCCTGCGGTGGTTCTAAAGCCAGGTCTATAGGTATCATAACCCCATCTGGCTATCAATACTGTTTCTGTTCCAGGTAACTTTCTGTTAGCAAGGTCAAGCACAGATTTCTGTCTGAACATTTCTCTAGCTTAGGATTCACATAAAAGATGAGTGCTACCACAAATTCCTCTACCCATTCTGGCTGTCATGACCTAGAGTGTAGACCTAACAGGACAACCCAGATTTTAACTCTTCCAATAAATTGTTCCTACATGGGACAGGATAGCCTACATGAGGCTCCCAAAAATACCCACAAAAGGGGAAGTAGTGTTGCAATGCCCAAGTGGGATCAGGGTGGTGACCTTGCCTAGTTTCCTTCTTAGGGACAACCCATGTCACCATGGGGTCCTTCCTGCCCAAATGCCTGAGGTAGCAATAGGAAGAGCTGAGCCAATATCTGCAAAGTTATAAAGTATTCACATCCTAGATTTCTTGAGGCTGGGCCCCTGGAAAGTCAGGACAGAAGAGCAGAACAGATGGCTTTCTCCAGTGTCAGCAAAGAAAGCTTAGACACCCTGAGTTCCAGGTTCTATTGTAGACTTTCATCAAGAAATTGATTTCATTTCTTGGGATCCTCTTTCATGGGATTCCTCAGCAGAAAAGACCTCTCCAAAGTCTCATCCTCCTTCTGCCTCATGCCGTGTCCATAATCTCAGATATGTATGCCACATAGCCCAATCCAAAACCCTGGGAATGCCTGGGTACAATCAGGACCCAGCTTTGCAGAGGCAAACTGAGATCCAGGAGGGTTCCCTCTACCCTCTCAGTTATGTGACCCTAAAATATCACCATACCTCCTAAAGACTCCACAATCTGGGCAATGGTAAGTAGAATGGCAATTGCTGGGATCTGGAGGTGGTGAAATTATAAAAAAGAAAAACTTTCCTTCAATGGGTAGAGTTTCAGTCTCATAAGGAGAAACAGTTCTGAATATTGGTCCCACAGCAATGTGCATATCCTCAACACTACTCAATCATACACTTAGAAATGCTTAAGATGATAAAATTCATCAGCTATATTTTGTTTTGTCAGGACCACACTAACAGTACATTTTAAAAGTGGTCAAATGGGGGATAGAGCTGTGGCACGATAGGTTAAAGCCCTGGCCTGCAATGTCAGCATCCCACAAGGGTGCCGGTTCAAGTCCTGGGGGCTCCACTTCCCATCCAACTCTCTGCTAATGTGCCTGGGAAAGCAGAGGAAGATGCCCCAAATACTTGGGCCCCTTCACCCACATGGGGGACCTGGAAGAAACTCCTGGCTCCTGGATTCAGATTAGCCCAGTTTGGCCCATTGTGGACATTTGGGGAGTGAACCAGCTGATGAAGATCTCTTTCTGTCTACCTCTCTTTCTCTAACTCTGCCTTTCAAATAAACAACACAGATCTTTAAAAAAAAAAAAAGTTAATGTGAAAAAAGTGGGCCGGCGCCGAGGCTCACTAGGCTAATCCTCTGCCTTGCAGCACCAACACACCAGGTTCTAGTCCCAGTCAGGGCACTGGATCCTGTCCCAGTTGCCCCTCTTCCAGGCCAGCTCTCTGCTGTGGCCTGGGAGTGCAGTGGAGGAGAGCCCAAGTACTTGGGCCCTGCACCCCATGGGAGACCAGGAGAAGCACCTGGCTCCTGCCTTCGGATCAGCATGGTGAACCAGCCACAGTGCGCTGGCCGCGGCAGCCATTGGGGGGTGAACCAACGGCAAAAAGGAAGACCTTTCTCTCTGTCTCTCTCTCTCACTGTCCACTCTGCCTGTCAAAAAAAAAAAAAAAAGAAAAAGAAAGAAAGAAAAAAAAGAAAAAAGTGGCCAAATACACATCTCATAAAAGTTAGTTATGCTTTCTCAGAAGTGCAGTTAATACTTATTAATTTTGTATAATCTCATATTTGCCCATTTTCACAACAGTAACATCCCTGATTCCATTTTGCTGAGTTACTATGTCATTTTTTTTGAAATAGGAATCCGATGCCATCCTCTCTCACTAAAGACACTGATGACAGAGTGCAGAAGCCGTGTTCAGTGTGGGTGTGGCCTGGGTTCCCTCCCTCCTGGCTGTGTTTGAGGGAGACATAATTTGGTCACCCTTGGGCATCTTACACTTAGGTGGAAGCAGGTGTACCTTGTGCTGAACAGAGAGGTGTTGTGTCCACAGCCAGGGCTAAATCCTGGGGCCTGTGCATTCCCTCATAAGATGTGCACACCTGAGCCCCAACTCCTCATGCACCAACACTGCCACAGCAGGAAGAACAAGCATGACCCTTGCCCCTGCAGCAGGAGCTAGTTCTATCCTCACTTACCACTTGCACTGACAGGTGGGATGGATCACTCCCTGAAGAAATCCTGGGACAATGTTCTCAGTAGAATACATGGATTTGTGCCAGGGAAAAGCATCGGAGTTTGAGGATCATACAAGTCCAACCCCATTTCTGCATAACAAAAGATTTCCTCTGTTGTGTTTCCTTTGAGTAGAACTTTTCTATTTGATTTTTTTCTTTTTATTCACCATTTTCTACGTCTTGAAATTTGATTGATTCTTCATTGTTCTATGTGTTTTTTGAATTCCTCATTTTGTTTCCATGTTATTCTTGATATTCTTGAGTTGTTCCTCTGTGTACTTTTCTAGGTTGAACAACATGCGTACCCAACCTCAGAACACCAGAATATATAAGCAAATGTTGACAGCTCTGAAGGGATAAACAGCAATGGAACAAACAGAACATATCAATATTCCACTTTCAACACAGAATAGAATATCTAAGTGGGAAATCAATAAAGAGTGGTAGATTTGAACAATATTATAAATCAACTTTTCCTAACAGTTACACAGAGAGCATTCTACCTGACAGCAGCAGAACATGTGTTCTTCTCAACAGCTGTCAACAATTCTCCAGGTGGGATCATCTGTTATTTCAGAAAATATGTGTCAACAATTTTTTAGAAAATTGGAGTCATATCATTGCTTTCATAACTCCAATGGAATTAAAATAGAAATCAATTCCAGAAAAATGGGAAAAGTCGCACGTATGTGGATGTCAATCCACACTGTGTCAAACAGCCATTGGCTTGAAGAGGAAATCAGAAAATATTTCAGTGGGTACATTTTGAGTTTTGAGCTGGGATCTATAGCCACAATCACAATCCTCAAGTCCAGGCTTGGTACAAAGAGAAACCAGGTGGACATGGAAGGTCACCAGCAGAAAAGCTCTCTGAACACTGAGAACCATGGGGATCTTTAAACAGAGCAGACAGAAGTCTTCTTACTGCCCACAACAATTAAGGAGACAAGGATGCTGATGCTCATGACCGAGTTCAAAGGCAGATGCAAATTCATATATATTTTATGTACAATATAAACATTTCATAGTTGGCTGAGCTTTATTTTATAAATGGACTGATTGAACATAACCTCCTTCATTAACATTTAGTAAATAGTTCAGTTTGTTCATTCAACAAATGATCTTCGCATGTCAGGCACTAGACACTATTCTAAGTATTTGGGATGGAGCAGCAAAAAGACACACAATCAGGAAGGCTGCTTTTTAATAGGTCACACACCAGATATGAGAAAATGAATGAAAACTCACACTGGTGCCGTAATCAGTACTATAAAAACATAAGTATGTACAGAGAAAGAACTGGGATATAAAGAAACTGCTTTGAGTACTCTGAACAAATCAGTCCATTTCTTTCTAAAGTGTAGTATCCCCCAGATGCTTGATCCTGAAGGGAGATATTTTATTTATTTTGCTGAAAGGCAGAGTGAGAAGGGAGATACACATACATAGGGGAGGAATAAAGAGAGAGAGAGAGATTTCCATTCACTGGTTCCCTCCCCCAAATGGCTTCAACAGTTGGGCCTGAGCCAGACTGAAGCCAGGAGTCAGGAACCTCATCTGAGTATTTCATGTGGGTGGCAAGGAGTCAAGCCATTATCTGCTAATTCCTAGGCACAGGTTAGGAGATTGGATCAGAAAGAACCCAGCAAGGATTCAAGTTGGCACTCTGATAGGAGATACAGGCATCATAAGTGATAGTTTAATGTGCTGTACCACAAGGCCAGTCCCAGCAAGTGAGTTTTATGTTCATGTTCTTGCTGATTACTTCCTATTCCATATTTGCACTGTGAACTAAACTGCAGTGGAAGGTGAAGAAAGAACGGCAAAGGAAGACCTTTCTCTCTCTCTCTCTCTCACTGTCCACTCTGCCTGTCAAAAAACAAAAATAAAAAAAGAATACCTTTAGATATTTCCTTTCTTTCTTTCTTTCTTTCTCTCTCTCTCTCTCTCTCTCTCTCTCTCTCTTTTTTTACAGGCAGATTTAGTGAGAGACAGAGACAGAGAGAATGTCTTCCTTCTGTTGGTTCACCCCCCAAATGGCCGCCATGGCCGGTGTGCTGCGCTGATCCGAAGCCAGGAGCCAGGTGCCTCCTCCTGGTCTCCCATGTGGGTGCAGGGCCCAAGCACTTGGGCCATCCTCCACTGCACTCCCAGGCCACAGCAGAGAGCTGGACTGGAAGAGGTGCAACCGGGACAGAACCAGTGCCCCAACCAGGACTAGAACCCGGAGTACCAGTGCCGCAGGCCTAGTGAGCCGTGGAGCCAGCAAATATTTTCTAATCATTAAAAACCAAAATGAAAAACCTAAAAGACAATTAAGCCAACAACATGAAGAGGATGAAAAGCTCCGCATTCAGTAAATTGTGAGTGAATTGCATCCCTTGTGAAGGAGGTTATTGGAAGCTCCAGGTCCTAAGATCCCAGCGGGATCACAGACAGTGGAGGGAGGGTCTCCAATCTTGTGTGGTTGGGTCAGCAGGAAGGTGACAGCAGCCCTGGCTCTTAGGATAGCTAGGCCCCCATGAGCACCACCAGACCTGAGCCCAAGACTTAACCCTCACTTCCCCCACCAGCCACAGGGTGGTTGAACTGCACCCCTCCCCCCAATCCATTGGGGAAAGCTGGTAGGTGTGACTGATTGGCTGCATCATCTGATGTGCTGCCTGCTCACTGGCTCAGCAAGCTGTCCAATCAGACACATGGGAGCAATAATAAAGAGCGACATGAGGTCTTTTTCTGTATGCTGCTAAACAGCTTCTCTAGTCTGCTGCTCATGGAGATGCCAGATGCTCAGTCCTTGCCTCTCTGTGCACTTCTCTCAGTACAAGAGCCCTCAGAAGGATGCCTGGGCAGCTCAGAATCTGGAATGAGGTGAGTGTGTGGGGGCCAGGTGCCTCCCTCTTGCAGGATGGAAGCTGGCATGGGACCCTGGATATCTTGTTTCATTCCTGAATGTGGTGACTTTGGCTCAGCCCTAGAGCTCTGTATTTTTCCAAATTGTGTGGTTAGGATTCGTGGGTCCTCAGGGAGAATCCAGACTTCATACATGGAATTTGGGGGGAGGAGCTGTGAGTTTTGGGATCCCTGTCCCTTCTTTCTCCTCCTGGATCACAGAATTCCCCTCAGCTAGAAAGCAGGTCACCAAGTCCACAACCCAGTCCTCTTAGCACAGCTCTTCCTAGGGGGGTGAGGCTGTCTCCCTGCATCAGCTCTCAGCTGTGGCTGCTGGTTATGAGCAGACCCTGGGCAGGGATTTCAGAGGCAGCCCAAGCAGAGGCCAAGCATCCTTTCTGGGGGACTCTCCCTTTTCTCCCTGCCTTGGCATCAGCTCCCTGTGAATATCTGTTGACACAAAGAAATGGGGTTTGCTGGGGAGTTGAGGCTCCAAGACTGCTTAGATCAAACATGATACCCACTGGAAATCCTCTTTATCTGACATTTAGGTTTCATGCCACTTGGACCTGGCTTAGGTCATTTGTTCCAGTACCAACTGGTGGTAGATTTTTTTAAAAGATTTTTATTTATGCATTTGAGAGGTAGAGTTATAGACAGAGAGAGGGAGAGACAAAGAGAAAGGTCTTACATCCACTGGTTCACTTCTCAAATGGTTGCAACAGCCAGAGATGGGCTGATCTGAAGCCAGGAGCTTCTTCCAGGTCTCCCACATGGGCACAGAGGCCAAGTACTTGGTCCATCTTCTAATGTTTTCTCAGGCCATAGCAGAGAGCTGCATCAGAAGAGGAGCAGCCGGGAACAGAACTGGCACCTGTATGGGACACCAGCTCTAAGATGGGAGGTCGGCACCTCAGGCAGAGGCTTTAGCCTAGTACACCACAGCACCGGCCCTGGGGAGATGATATTCTAAGACTCTTTGATCAGTCCCTCCACAAGGGAAATTTTGTTTGGAAGAGTCATTGTGTGAAAATTTGTTTATCTTGGTTAAAATACAGGTAATTAGATGTTAATTCCATCCAAATCCCTCTGAGCTGATAAGGACAGGCAATATTTCTGGCCTCATAACTAAGAAACATTGTGATAATGCATGGATTTGTTTGCATTGCATTCTAAAGAATGAGGAGGCCCTTGAGGTCCCGTTGGTCCTTTAAAGCCAGTTGTGACTCCCACAGAAGCCCCTGGTGCAATTGACAGCAGGGAACAAGAATCAGAAAAATAATGCACTACAAAATATTTCTTTATTAAGGTGCTAACTGAATCTGAACTGAAGACACGATTTTCTTTTCATGTGTAGGTGTTCAACTCTTTTACTGGGACTAGAGTTATTTTCCAAACTAAATGCTTATGTTAAGATTTTATTCCTGCCAGTCCTAATTGAGAAAAAAATTATGGTTAATTAAATTATTGAAAGGAAGAATTCTGTGATGTCGATAATTTTCAAAAGGAGTTAAATATTTTAAAAAGGGGCGATGAAGTAGGCAGGCATACAGGCTAAAATTGATTTGTGAACTGGAAGACCATGCCTTCGCCACACCCCTGTGTGATGTCATGCCTCTACCTGATACCTTCACCACGCCCCTGTGTGACCTCATCCCCCTAGCTGGCCACACCTGGGTGCCAACCAGCCAATCAGGTTAATTAACCACTCCCCTTTGGAAGTGGGTTAAAAGCCTGGGACACAGTGTGTCTGGGCCTTCTTTTCTTGCCTGGCCTCCTGCCAGGAGGGGCTTCCCATAGCCCTGTGCCTCCAGGACGTGTGCCCTCAGGCCATGTGCTCTAGGCTTCCTGGCCTAGATGCTCCTCCATGTGGCTGGTTCCTGGTGCTCAGTATGAACCTACATTTACCTAACTCTCAGCCTCTGCTTTGCTGCCAGTGGTAAGCAGTGAATAGCAGCTCAAGGTGCTTGCTGCACGTGGCTTTTGTCTGCTCCCTGCTTGGTATGGATGCTACCCTGGTTTCTAGACTTTCCTCCCTCTCCTACCAGAACTAAACCCTCACTTTCCTAGACACCTCTCGCACTAAATAAAAACCTAAAGCGTACCATGCTGCTTCGTTAATCTGTGCCGGTATTTAGAATTCTCTAAATATTAGGCAAGAACCCTCTCGGGCTTTTAATATTGGGGATTAATAAGCTCATGGTGAAATCATATTGCACCCCAAATTCTGGTAACACATGTGGCACCCAGATAGCACTTCTGGGGAACTTAAGGGCCACATTTCAGTGTGGAATTTAGGGGGTTGTGTCTGATTTCAAAATGACATTATTCCTTCTCATATATGCTATATATATATGTGTGTGTGTGTGTGTGTATTTGTGTATGTTGTATATTGTTGTATATTATGTCTGAATGGTAAAAAATTCCTTAAGAGCTCTGTTTTAACTGACATAGGCAAATGAGTGTTCACATAAATTAAAACTAATTAACTCAAATATCTTTTTTTTTTTTTTTTTGAGAGGAAGAGTTAAAGACAGAGAAAGCTCTTCCTTTTTCTGTTGGTTCACCCCCCAATGGCGCTGCGGCCAGCGCTGGGCAGATCTGGAGCCAGGAGCCAGGTGCTTCCTCTTGGTCTCCCATGCGGGTGCAGGGCCCAAGCACTTCCCGGGGCCACAGCAGAGAGCTGGCCCAGAAGAGGAGCATCTGGGACAGAATCCGGTACTCCGACCGGGACTACAACCCAGGGTGCCGGCCCCGCAGGGGGAGGATTAGCCTAGTGAGCCGTGGCACCGGCCTCAAATATCTTTTGATTCATGTGACCTAAGTAAGTATCTGATAGGTTGTTTTAACTTTGTTGATAGATACAAATTAAAATATTTTCAGGGTTATTGACATGTTTTGTGCCTGGGTTTGCTGGTCAAGCAAAAGTTATACTTACTTTTTTGGATACTCAAAGTCATAAAAGTTCGATTTTGACAAGAAAAAAATGATGCAGGTTAGTGGTATAACGGAATGTTCATTAATTCCTGTTTGAAGTAAAATTTAACTCCTCGAGTTGTTCTTTGGCAAAACATGACTCAAGATTATAACCATACTAGTCTAATATTTTAGTTTCTTTAAAAATTGTTAATAATAAGTGGGTAAACATAAAAAATGTTTTCAAACTTTTGTACTGTTGGTCTTGTAAACGTTGTAAAAGACAATGGACTTTTGGATTTGACTACTTTAAAATAATTTGAAATTTTATGTTTCATTAAAATGCTTTGTTCTTATTTTAGAGGCTTTTTAGGATCATTTTAAATTGCAAATTAAGGAACCAATAGATAGGGAAGAGAAAAATGTTAAGGAAGCTATAAATTCGAGAATGAGAATGTGTCTTGTACTCAAGATGTGTTTTGAATAACAAAGAAAGCAAATGATCTTTGTCTTACCTGAAATAAAACTGGTGTTTGGCAAGGAGAGAGAGGAACAAAACAGAATAAATAACTTAGGTAATATAAAAATGTTACAGAAGATTTGTAGCAGATAATTTTGTGTGAGATTACTTTGGCTGAGATTAGAAGGAAATTAATTCTATGAGTTTCTCAAAATTGAGCATTGTTAATTGTTAGGAAAAGAGTTGCAGATTTTTGCTTCCCCATTTGGGGCACCAAAATGTTAGGGAAAGAGGTGCAGAATAGAGAGGGGGCAGTGTACAAATTTACAGCCAGACTGCATTTTTTTCAGAGAAAATAAGTCTGTAGAGGTGGGTGATCAACTGCCCACATGCACATTAGTGGATCACAGGGCAGAAGGCCCCAACCCCAGGGGCTGGGCCTTTTTATATTTTGGGTAGGGGCCAGCAGGCAGAGGGGAATTCCTGGAACTGGTCTTTCAGGTGTTAAGAACAAGTGGTCTTTCAGGTGGCTGTAAGGGGTGGGGTATGAATGCAATAGGGTGTGAAATCCAGTTGAGTTTCAAGGGCAAGGAATACATTCCAAGGACTACATTCCAGTGTTTACCTATTTTGGGCAATGAGGGAGAATGGCTGAGGCTTATGTCATTGTTCCATCAATCCTGACTCTGAGTATAGATGAGGAGAGGGGTGCCGATTTCTCTCTGGCTACTTCCTGCTGATAGGGGGCTTAGACATGGAGCCAGGACTTGAGCAGTGACCTATATTTGGGATAGGATTGATTGAAGAGGAAGAGCAGCCTTGCGTTGTGCCTGTGAGTTGGCTTGAGATATAGCAGTTATTTGTTTCTGCAAGAACCTTTGGAATGGGTTAATTATGCATGGCAGAAATAGGAGCACTATGATTATGAGGGCAAAAGGAGACACTAGAGCCATGGCCCATGGTGGAAACAACGGCCAAAATGAGACAGAGTTACCTTGTAAATGCATCGTGTTAGCGTGTCGACCTGAGAGGTGGGTCCTGTTGGGGTGGACTTATATGAGGGAGATGTAACTAGTTTTAATGAAGTAAAATGCACCCAGGGAGGGTGCCCTTTGAGTTTGGCTGTGGTGGAGGTAGTCAATATCACCTGGTAGGGCCCGCTCCACTTTGGTTTAGAGCAGCCTCATTTTGTTTTAGATAAACCCAGTCACCAGGTGGAAAGGTAGGGATATAGTCGGGAGGCAGAGAGTGTGGTTTGGGTAGGTGTGTGTCTGCATACATCCATAAGTCATCGCACATTTCAGTAAGAAGAGAGGAGGAGGAATAGCTTCAGAGCTCTGTAGGGGAGGGAAGCTAGGTGAAAGAGGCCTTCCATAGGGAATTTCAGATGGGCTAAGCATTAAGGGCTTCTGGGGAAGAGATCCGATTCTTAACAGAGCTAAAGGAAGGAGTTTTACCAAGTCCAAGTAAACCTGGGTGGAGAGTTTAGTTAGAGCCTGTTCTAAAATTCCATTCATCCATTCTACTTTTTCCTGAGGAGGGGGGACGATAGGGGATGTGAAAATGCCATGAGCTATGAAGAGAGGCAGATACTATTTGAGTTATTTTAGAGATAAACTCTGGTCCATTGTCTGACTGATGGAAGCAGGCAATCCAAATCTTGGGTTAATATCATTTAATATAGTGGAAATGGTGGAAGCTCTTTTGTTAGTAGTGGGGGAAGCTTCCACCCACTCCAGGAAGGTGTCCTCCATCACCAGAAGGTACCATGTTTGCTTAACTGGTGGCATATGGGTGAAGTCAATCTGCCAGTCCTCTCCTGGGAGTGATCCATGGGCCTGGTGAGTGGGGAATGGGGTGGCCTGATATTAGAATTGGGGTTAGCAGTTTGACAGGGGCTACAAGTCTGAGATATGTTATGCAGAGTTTCTCTTATGGCAGGAGTTAGGTGTATATGTGATCTCAGGAAGTGAAGAAGAGAGTTTGAGTTTGAGTGATAGAGAGAATGGAGGTTCTTTAGAAAGGTAACTTGGAGAGAAGAAGGGAGTATTAGTTTTTCATCTAGAAACCACCATGAGTCCTTTCTAGATGCCCCTTGTTGTTGGAACTGAGAGATTTCTAGGTCTGAATACACAGGAGCTAAGTTACAGAGAAAAGATGGGATCCTCTCCCCAGGAGCCACTGTGTTAGCTGTCAGATCAGCCTTGTTATTAGCTTCAGATAGGGATTGTTTACCTTTCTGGTGTCCTTTCCAGTGAATAGCAGCAGCTTTTGTTGGCAGCTGGGCAGCCTCAAGTAGAGCTTTAATCAACTTGCCATTTATTATAGGGGTCTCTCGGGCTTGCCGTATCTGGGCATTGGAATGCAAAATGTTATAGGCATATCGGGAATCTGTATATATATTGACTGTCTTTCCTTTGGCTAAGGTGAAGGCTTGAACCAAGGCTAATAACTTGGCCTGTTGGGAGGTAGTGCCTTGAGGTAGGGGCCCAGCCTCTATGGTCCTTTGCAGGGAGAGGAGGAGGTGACATCATGATGCCCCTCAATTATTTCATATCCAGTGGGAAAAGGGGGAGCTTTAGAAGCACTACCATTAATGATCCAATGCAGGGCTTTGGGAATAGGAGTGTCTGAGGTGATGAAGGTCTGAGGTGATGAGGTCAGGAAAAATCAAGGAAGTCAGGACAGGAATGGGGTTCGAGGGGATGAGAGAAGTGGGGAGGAGAGTAGCTGGGTTGAGAGAAGAGCAGGGATGAAAAGTAACAGTGGGCTGGAGAAGGGTAGAGTGAAGAACAGGTTAAGTGGGTTAGGAAGGCTCAAGGCGGGTGCTTGTAGAAGAGCCTTGTTTAGGATTTGAAACGGGGTCTCTAGGGAGGAAGTCTCTTGCAAGGGCTCATCTAGATTGCCTTTGGTAGCATTTATGAAAGTTCAATGAAATAGAACTATGGATTTTTCACTATGCAAAAGCAATAAGGTTATTCAAAACATATATATGTTAGGTAGGAAGTCAGGAATTTAGCCTATGTGTTTGTGAGGCAGGCCTGAAGAGCAGCACCTACTGTGAAAGCTCTGGAAGCCCAGCAACTTGCACTTCAAAGTCCTGCGCAGACCCCAGACCCCGATAACCTCCCAGGGGGTCCCAGCCCTTCCCCTCCCCACCCCCCCAAGGAAAGCTCCCAGGGGAATTCTCTCTGCTCAGGACCAAATGGGTTACTTGGTTACATGGGGCAATAAAACCTCCTCAGATGCCCTAAGGGAAGCCCCCCTAGTCTGCCAGCAAATCTGGGGAGGAATTTGCTAATTTTCACCCAACAAACCCTTCCACCTGGACTCTCCATCCTTTGTCCTGGAGGAGAGGGGGAGGAGGGTAAACAGACTCCCTTAAAAACCTAGGGAGTCTAAGCAGACTGCTTGCTCTGCCCTCTGCCTCTCTGCTGAGCCACCTGCCCAGGTGTATTTCCACTCAACCATGTAACCTCACTCTCCCCAGTCTGAGCGAGTGGGTGCTCTTTCTGTCCCTTCCGTCCTGACAGATGCCCTATCCCCAACAAAGCCTTAGCACTCTGCCCTCTGTCTCACACCTGAATTCTTTCTTGTGTGAAGACAGAACCCCACAGCTTCCATGGCCTTCCCTCTGGTAACATACATATTTGTAATAATCTTGCTGTTTCATTTTGAAATCTATTTTAATGCAGTTTCTCCTTTTAGTAGTTTCTACTTAATTGGTCATTTTCTTTGTCAAATTTCTAGGCATCTCCTGTAAGTTATTTCTTCCTCCTTGGTTCTGACTCTTGTGACCTAACATTAAAACTGTTTGTCTTAGAAGCCTAAGGTCATAGGATACTTGATTCTTCTGTCTTTTCTTAATGTGTTTAATTTTTTTCATGTAATCAGACAATTCCTTCAGCTTTTGTTTCTAAGGGTATTCTTCTATTCAAGGTTTTCATGGGGCAGGCGTCATGGCTCACTTGGCTAATCCTCCACCTGCCGGCATCCCATATGGGTGCTGGGTTCTAGTCCAGGTTGCTCCTCTTCCAGTCCAGCTCTCTGCTGTGGACCAGGAAGGCAATAATATTTTTAGACAGGAAGATAGAAATTAGCCTATGTGTGTGAAAGCAGTCATGGGAAACAAAACATGTGCTCTGCAGAAGGAATGCAGCAGCCTTAGAAGCAGGCCTAGGAAAGCAGCCCAGTACTTTACACTACAAAACCCTGCCCCTCCAATAAAGGCACACCAGGAGAAACCTGTTTGCTTGGTGCAAAGGAGGTTATTGAGTCTGATAACATTACCTAATTTTGCACCTGGGAAATATTTTGTCCATGAGTGGGGTGTGTGTGTGTGTGTGTGTGTAGAAACAGTGAGAAGTAGACACCCAGACACCCAACCCTTAGAAATCCCAGTGATTATTAAGTCTTCTACTCACAGTCAACTTCATAGGGGCATCTGTGGAAATTTACAGTAGGTTTTTAAAAGAGCAGGGGAGCCCCAGGTCTCTGTTCTACCATTAGGCTGAGGCAGAGCTGAAGGACACAGGTGCTGACCACCAGGAGGAATCGGAGAACTTAAGCCTTGTCATCGATCTAGCGACAAGCCATGACATCTGAAACCAGAGACCGTCAACTCTTTCATGACTTCACCACACCAAAGTAATGGGGGGAAAATGGTGATGAAGGAGGGTGATGGGGATGCATGTCTCACAAGGAATTTCCATGTGGACAGGCAGTGAGCAAAGCAAGATTTATTTACATGAGAAACCTTGCCACAGCAGCCACTAGGGGTCCCCAAGAGAGGGAGACCTGAAAAATGGAGTGGAGTTTTTTAACCACAATTTGGATGAGCAGAATAATAACAGCTAACAATCTATCAGAGGGACAGAATCATAATCTTGTCTAGCCTGCTCTTGTTAAAACAAAAAACCTTGGGAACGATCTGATAGGCAAATTCTGTGGTAAAACTAGGTTAGAAGGGTGGGATTGTTAACTTCCCTTCTATTCTCATGAGAAAATGAAACTCAGAGGAGTGGGCTCTCCACTTCTGTCTTGCTAATAGACAGGTTCTGGGGAGAAGCAAGTGTCTTGCCCACTCTTAAAAGGACTCCCCATTAGGTCATCTAGTCCTTACACCAGCACACCCTTCCTTAAAACCTCTTTATAAGCCCTCAAATACCCTCCTCCAACAGAATGGTACTCCTGTAACCACAATAAATGCATTTTTCCTTTTCAAATGTTTACCTTAATGAAGGCACCCTCTGTTGCTGTAATCTTGTGAATAATATTTGCATAAGAATTTCAGAAGCCCACTGAAAAAAGGAGATGATTAGGAGTGTCAGGCTTTTGCCCCAGCTGACAAAGAACCCTTTCCCCCCTCCCCCAACTGAGGCAGAAAGCCCCTGGGGTGACACCCTGGACTCCTCTGACTGGGTGGTGGGATGTGCCTCAGAACAAAGCCTGACAATCTGCATAATTGTCAATTGAATAGATTCATTGTTTTATTTGAATCCTCACCCTCCAATTACCCTGTCTCTTTAAAAATCCTCTGTACTGCGTGGTTTGGTAGAAAAGCACCTGTTTGGATGGAGAGAAACTTCTTTTTCTTTCCCCAAGGCTGCTGCTGCCTTCTTGCAATAAACCTTTTCCTCTGGCCAGGCCTCATCTTTGGTGAATTGAAGCGGCGAGCATCAAGAGCTGGATTATTCGCTCAATAACCACATTGGTGAGCGAACCAGAAGTCGGGTGTATTCTTCAAGTGGCCTGACCCTCTCACACTGGTAAGGAGGGCAATGGCCACTTGTACTCCCTCCCCAGAGCAGCTTGTGAGCTAACCTGGTGGCTGGGACTCTGGGGACATCCAGCAGCTGTCCTTTCTCTTCCTGCTGCACATTAGCTACCTATTAAGACAATGGCTTCCATTTGTGTACAGAGTCAACAGCTCTGAGACTGAAATTTCTGTCTCTGCTCTTTGGGTTCATGGAATTTGGACCTGGCTTAGGTCATTTTTTGTGGTACTGGTTTGTGTGAAATCGGAGAATACCCCATAAAATCCACACTAAATTGTGGCCCCTTAAAGTTCCCTAGAAATGCTATCCGGGGTGCCACATGTACTACCACAATTTGGGGTGCCATATGATTCACCGTGGGCTTATTACTAAATCCTCGATATTAATAAGCCCAAGAGGGTTCTTGCCTAATATTTAGAGAAAAATTCTAAATACCAGCACAGATAAACGAGGCAGCATGGTACGTTTTAAGCTTTTATTTAGTGAGAAAGATGCATAGGAGAGTGAGAGCTTTATTTAAGGGAGAGAGGTGAATAGGGGTTCATACCAAGCACCAGGAACCAGCCACATGGATGACCATTAGGCCTGGAAGCCTAGAACACATGGCCTGAAGGCCTTGCGCCCTGGAGGTGCAGGGCTACAACAAGCCCTGTCCTGGCAAGAGGCCAGGGAAGAAGAGCAGGTGGCTACACCGTGGCCAGACTGTTAACCCACTTCCAAAGGGGAGTGGTTAATTAACCTGATTGGCTTGTGGGCACCCAGGTGTGGGCAGGTAGGGGAATGAGGCCACACAGGGGCATGGCAAAGGCATCAGGTAGGGGCATGAGGCCACACAGGGGTGTGGCAAAGGTGTGGTCTTCCAGCTCACAAACCTAATCCTATTACTAAGAAGAAAGTGGTGTCCTATTGTAATACTGCATGGCCTGTGTATGTGTTAAATTTAAGAGAAGATGGCTGTTAAGTGGATTTTTAAAATATTTATTTCATTTGAAAGTCAGAGTTGAAGTAGGCAGGCATACAGGTTAAAATTGATTAGGTTTGTGAGCTGGAAGGCCATGCCTTCACGCCTCTGTGTGATGTCATGCCCCTACCTGGCCACACCTGGGTGCCAACCAGCCAATCAGGTTAATTAACCACTCCCCTTTGGAAGCTGGTTAAACTCCTAGGACATGATGTGTCTGGCCCTTCTCTCCCCTGACCTCTTGCCAGGAGGGGCTTGCTGTAGCCCCGTGCCCTAGGCTTCCAGGCCTAGATGCTCCTCCATGTGGCTGGTTCCTGGTGCTCGGTATGAACCCATGTTTACGTCTCTCTCTTAAATAACACTCTCTGCCTCTGCGTTGCTGCTGGTGATAAGTGGTGGATAGCAGCTCGAGGTGCTTGCTGCACGTGGCTTTGGCCTGCTCTCTGAGTGGTATGGACACTACCCTAGTTTGCAGACTTTCCCCTCTCCTACCTGAACTAAACCCTTACTTTCCTGGCTCCCTGATCTCTTAAAAACCTGTTGTAAATTTCCACAGATGCCTCTGATGAAATTGACTGTGAGGAACAAGAATTAATGCAATAAAAGGTGTTTTTCAAGCAGAATGCCAACTGAACCTGAAATGAAGATATAATTATCTTTATATATGTTAGTGTCCAGTACCATCACAGGGACTAGAGTTGCTTTCCAAATTAAATGCTCAAGTAAGTTTCTCAGGTTTCAACTGTGGAACAATAGGGTTAACTGAGGTTACTAAAAGCAAGAAGTAATTATATTTAATTGATTAGAACATTTATTTATTTTTCTTTGATTGGGAGTTTTAAAAAGGAGTTGTAACCATAAGAAAACCATCTTCCTTCCCTTTTCCTTTTCACATTTTGTATAGCAAAAACCACTTACTGATATTCTGAATTACCTGAATTACTCTGGAGCTACCAGAGTAATTCAACTACCAGAGCTGTGCCGACCTGGAGTCAGGTCTCCCGTGCAGGTGCAGGGGCCTAAGGACTTGAGCTATCCTCTACTGCTCTCCCAGGCCACAGCAGAGGGTTGGATTGGAAGAGGAGCAGCCAGGCTTAGAACCAGTGCCCATATGGTATGCCAGCACCACAGGCAGAGGATTAACCTACAGTGCCATGGTGCTGGCCTCATAATGGTGGACTTTTGACCCCACTGACAAGGATCCTCCAACCAACTGATGCTGACTCCCCTGGTTAAGAGGTCTCCATCAGAAAAAAAGCTTGGACATCTACATATCATCAGTTAAGGTGACTCATCATTTTATTTCTAACTTCCCCCTGAAGCTACCCTTGTCCTTTAAAAACTCTTTGGGAGAAAGAGAACATTTTACATCAAGAGCACTCTCTTGGAGCCATGCTGTGGCATAGAGAGCTGGGCCTTCACCTGTAGTGCTGGCTTCCCTTGTGGGCACCATTTCATGTGCATGCTGGCTTCTCTCCTGATTCGGCTTTCTGCAGTGCAGGGTGGTCCAGGTGCTTGGGCCCAACACCCAGCTGGGGAGGTTCCTGGCTCCTGGCTTTGAATCAGCCCAGCTCTGGCCATTTTGGCTATTTTGGGGGTGGGCCAGCAGGTAGAAGACCTTTATCTGGCTCTCCCTCTCTCCATGGCTCTGTTTCTCAAATGAATGAATAAAATATTTAGTTATTTATTTGACAGGTAGAGTTATAGACAGAGAGAGACAGAGAGAAAGGTCTTCCTTCCATTGGTTCACCCCTCAAATGGCTGCTGCAGCTGGCGCTGTGCTGATATGAAGCCAGGAGCCAGGTGCCTCCTCCTGGTCTCCCGTGCAGGTGCAGGGCCCAAGCACTTAGGCCATCCTCCACTGCCCTCCTGGGCCACAGCAGAGAGTTGGACTGGAAGCGGAGCAACCAGGACTAGAACCCGGTGCTCATATGGGATGCCAGCGCTGGGCCCCAAATGAATAAAATCTTTAAAAAAAAGGATAAATATCTTTCCCCAAGATGCCAGCTTCTAGAAATAAGCTCTTTCCTCTTGCCAACATTCATCTCTGTTGAATTGGCAACCCACATGGTGAGCCATAAGGGCCTGATTATTTGTCAGGTAATGGAGTTAAAAGATTTAAAAACTGTTGCAGAGATTTCTATGTTTCTCTGTCTCATAATGTATGCTATGCCTTATATACATGTACATGTAGTATGTTTAAAAGTTTGTTGTGCTTATTGTGTTAAAATCAAAATATAATTTTTCAGCTAAGCACAAAGAATATATGAAAGTGATGCAATGTTCTTTGCTTTCTATGAAGTTCAATTTTAAAGTTGTTCTTTGGCAAGATCATAACCTAAGAATAACCATACTTATCTAATATTTTAGTTTTTCAGGCAATCTAAGTATAAATGCTCAAAATGAATTGGTGGTCTTTGCTTTCTCTGCACTTTGCTGTGGCACCTTGTGCATCATCATGTCCTTGCAACCTAAGGGTGTCTCCCTCTCCTCATCTGCCTGAGAAATGGACTCAAGTATGCAGTGACTGGAGAGGAGGTAAAGAACTGTATGCAGTGCTTGATCAGAATCAGCAACCAGGTTCAAACTGATGTTGCATACCTTGCTGCATTCATAGATGCATGTGAGATGGAGCAAACATTGACTAGCATCGAGAAGACAGGTGAGCATTTCTGCCTCATCCTTGACACCAAGGGGCCATTTTGCTGATCACTACATCACAGCAGAAGGCATGTGGTGGCAGACATGAGCAGGAGGTGGTATACAAACTGAACTACAAGCTGTGCAAGGTGAGGAGGATGACTGGGTACAAAGGGAATCCCACCCCTGATGGCTCATGATGCTTGTGCCATGCGCAACCCAGATCCTCTCATCAAGGTGATCATGGGATGGATTACTGATTTGGGGCTCCTATGCAATTTGACATGAGGTAATAGACCTCAGGTTTTCCTGCCCAGGGATAAGAGCATCTCTGACTTACAGTGGCTGCAGAGAGATAAAGCAGTGTAGCAGCTAGAGAGACCAAGGGCTACTCTGCAGTAGCATGACTTTTTTTTCCTCAATAAATGATAAATGCTCATGAAAAAATAAAAAATGAATTGCTAAATGTAAAAGATAGATTTTTCTAAATACATGTACTCTTGGCTTAAAATATATAGAAGGGATTGGGCCTTTTGGTAAATGTTTTTATAAGTTGTTATACACAGCTGTTCAAAATTACTTGCTAAGTTATCACTAAACAATAAGTTACCTACAAGATGGTAGAGTCAAAATGAAGCCTTTGGTAGGGGTGGTATCTGTGCCTTTAGCAGATAAAAACAATGGTCTAGGTGGGAGTGATTTTATTTTCTGCTCTTTTCTTCCACATGTGCAGGGGATGAACTCTATATTTCAGTGGATTGTTCATCTCAGGCCTTAAAGCTTTTTGGAAACCAACAGCATCACAGCTCACTTGGACTTCACACTGTTACTCTCACTTGGACTTCACACTGTTACTTTCAGCATGAAAATGTGTGGTTTGGTAGGGGTTTCTTATTCCTCAGAGGCTGCAGAATAGGAAGGAATGTGTGAGTTACTTCTTTCACATGCCCACAGTTTACTTTAAAATAGGAAAATAGGGCTTCTGCAAAATGGAAAATTTTAGTTTATGACTGATTTTGAGGAGTGGCTTTCCTTTTCATGGACACTTAATTTTGTTCTGATGTTAATATACCAAATTTCTTCTGTGTATCAGATAACACCACCATTCATAAGTTAAGATTCTTGGTATTTGGATATCTGTTAGATGCTACTAAGAAAATATAGATAAGCTTTCTTTTTAAAGCTTTTGAGGTGGTGTCACAGAATAGCGTGTTGTAGATACAGTCAACTGCTTTGTTACCTTCCAAGTAGGCATCTGTAAGTACTGAAACTTAAGATGGCAGGTGATGTCCTGTAGACACTGCTGTTCAGATTGGACATAACTGACAGAGTTCATTCTTTCTCTCTAAAAGTGATAGGGGATTTGTAGCTTAGTGGTTTTTCATTTATTTATTTCTAATTTGCTGCTAATAATGTATATGAATTTAACATTCTGTGTAAATTGTCATTTGTTACTGCACAGTTTATGCAGTGTTGCTTTGCCAAATAAAAGTTCAAAGTAAAAAAAATCAAGTTATCAAGGATAAGAAATATTGTTTTAAGGTTTATTTAAGTATTTGCAAAGCAGAATAACACAGAGAGAGAGAGAGAGAGAGAGAGAGAGAGGTCCTCCATCCACAGGTTCACTCTCCAGAGGGCTACAATGGCTGGATCTTGCTGATCTGAAGCCAAGAGTCAGGACCCTCATCCAAGTCTCCCACATGAGTGCAGAGACCAAAGGATTTGTGCCATCCTCCAATGCTTTTCTAGGGCATTTTGAACCAGTGCTCTTATGAAATGCCAGCACTGCAGGTGGAGGTTTAACCTACTATGCCACAGTGCTGGCCCCAATAAAAATAATTCTAAATCAACATACCAAAATTTAGAATTCTTTGAAGTTTTATTTAGGTATTTGAAAGGCTGAGTTAGAGAGTGGGACAGAAATCTTCAACCTACTGGTTCAATGCCAGACATCTGCAGCAAGCAAGCACTGGGCCAGACTGAAGGCAGGAGCCTGGAGCTCCATTCAGGTCTCCTACATCTGTGGCAAGGATCTAAACACTTGTGCCATTTTCCTCTGCTCTTCCCAGGCCATTAGCAGGGAGTTTGATCTGAAGCAGAGCAGCTGTGACACGGGACCATATGGATGCCAGCATCATAGGTGGTGGCCTTACCCACAACATCACAGTTCCAGCCCTGACATTAAAAATGTTCAAGGTACAGCCAGCATCATAGGTTAAGTGCAGTCTATCATACCTGCATCCCATAAGAGTGCATGAGTCCAGACTGCTCCACTTCTAATCCAGCACCCTGTGAATGTGCCTGGGATAGCAGAAGATGGCCCAAGTGCTGGGACCCTTGTCACACATGTGGGAGAACCACATGGACTTCCCTGGCTTCTGGCTTCTTCAGTCTGTCCCAGCTCTAGCTGCTGCAGTCATTTGGGAAGTGATCCAGATGATCACTTTCTCATTGTCTTTATTTTTTTGGAATTCTTTCAAATAAATAAAACTAGGATTTATACCCCACATTAAGTTAGTAATTTTTTTACAAAAATATAAATATTAATGATAATTTTTTGCAAGAGGTTTTCATATTTGATTTTAAAGTCTAATAACTTTCTACAACACATTTATTTATTTGAAAGGCAGAGATACAAAGAGAGAAAGAGGGAAAGAAAGATTTTCCATCCAATGACTCTACCCAAATGACGGGGTTGGGTCAGGCAGGAGCCAGGAGCTTCTTCTGGGTCTCCCATACAGGTTCAGGGGCTCAAGTACCACATTTCTCTGCTTTGCCCAGGTGCACTAGTAAAGAGCTGGATTGGAAGTTGAGCAGCTGGGATTCAACTGAGCTGGTACCCATATAAGATGCTGGCACTGCGGTGGAGGTTTAACCTTCTATGCCACAGTACCTGCCCCAGTCTAATAACTTTTAAAAATTTTGAGAGAGATAAAGAGAGGGAGAGAGAGAGTGAAATGTCTTCCATCTACTAGTTCACTCTTCAAATACCCACAATGGCTGGAGCTGAGCCAATCCAAAACAGGAGCCAGGAGCTTCTTGCATATCCCCCATGCTCAAGCACACCTTGCACTGCTTTCCTAGGATTAGCCTACAATGCCCTCTAAATAACATTTTCAACCATCTAATCAACTGCAACTTCTTGTTTTTTATTTTTTTTATTTATTTGACAGATAGAGTTAGACAGTGAGAGAGACAGAAAGGTCTTCCTTCCATTGCTTCACCCCTAAATGGCTGCTACAGCCATTGCAGTATGGATCCGAAGCCAGGAGCCAGGTGTTTCCTCCCTGTCTCCCAGGTCTCCCATGTGGGTGCAAGGGTCCATGCACTTGGGCCATCCTCCACTGCCTTCCTGAGCCACAGAAGAGAGCTGGACTGGAAGAGGAGCAACTGGGACTATACCCAGCACCCATATGGGTTGCCAGCACTGAAGGTGGAGGGTTAACCAAGTGAGCCACCAACTGCTTTTCTAGGATTAGCCTACTACGCTACAGTGCCTGGCCCCTCTAATAACATTTCAACCCTCTCCTCAACTGCAATTTTTTAAAATTTCCATTTGATTGACTCCTTTCCAACAACTAGCCATCTCTTATAAGCTATTTTCTCCTCCTTTATTGTTTAGTTATGGCCTTTCATTAAAAATGCTTGTCCTCAGGCCGGTGCCATGGCTCAATAGGCTAATTCTCCACCTTGCAGCGCTGGCACACTGGGTTCTAGTCCCGGTTGGGGCGCCGGATTCTGTCCTGGTTGCCCCTCTTTCAGGCCAGCTCTCTGCTATGACCCGGGAGTGCAGAGGAGGATGGCCCAAGTGCTTGGGCCCTGCACCCACATGGGAGACCAGGAGAAGCACCTAGCTCCTGGCTTCCGATCAGCGTGATGCACTGGCCGCAGCACACCGGCTGTGGCGGCCATTGGAAGGTGAACCAATGGCAAAAGGAAGACCTTTCTCTCTGTCTCTCTCACTGTCCACTCTGCCTGTCAAAAAAAAAAAAAATGCTTGTCCTTACAGCTGACATTGTGGCACAGCAGGTTAAGATGCTGCCTGTGATGGCAGCAACCCATATGGGCACTGGTTTGATTCCTTGTGGCCCACTTCTGATTCATCTCCTAGCTAATCCACCTGGCAAAACAGGAGAGGATGGCCCAAGTCCTTGGGACCCTGCACCCATGTGGAAGACCTGGATGGATCTCCTGGCAGTGGTTTCTTCCTGGCCCAGTTCTGGTTGTAGTGGCCATTTGGCTAATGAACTAGCAGATGGGAAGATCTTTCTCTCTGTTCTCTCTCTCTAACTCTACCTTTGAAATTAATTAATCTTAAAGAGAAATGTTTATCTTAGAAAACTAGGATATTAAGAGTACCTATTTTTTTGTAAAGATTTCTTCATTTGTAAGCCAGAGTTCACAGAGAGAGAGGAAGAGACAGAGATCTTTGGTCTACTGGCTACAATGCCTAGACCTGAGCCACAATGGCCAGGAGCCAGGAGCTTCTTCTGGGTCTCACACAGGGGCCCAAGGACTTGGCAATTTTTCATTATTTTCCTTGGTGCATTAGCAGGGATCTGGATCTGAACTGGAATATTCAGGACTGGACAAGTGCCCATGTGGGACGCCTGTGTCACAGGGGCTGGCTTTACACAACATGCCACAACACTGGCCCCTATACTTGACTTTTCTAGATGTATTTAAACTGTTCTATGGATTTTTTTTCTGCTTTTGTTTCTAAGATGTATTATTGTCTTTTTTGTTAAAGATTTATGTATTTATTTGAAAGGCTGAGTTACAGAGAGGCAGAGAGAGAGTTAGAGAGAGGTCTTACATCTGCTGGTTCACTCCCCAAAAAGCTGCAATGGCTGGAGTTATGCCAATCTGAAGCCAGGAGCCAGGAACATCATCTTTTGGGTCTCCAACACTAGTGCCGAGAGGCCAAGTACTTGGGCCATCTACTGCTTTTCCAGGCCATAGCAGAGAGCTGGATCAGAAGTAGAGCAGTCAGGACTTCAACTGCCCCCATATGGGATGCCAGCACTGCAGGCGGTGGTTTACCTGCAGTTCCACAGCACCCACCTCAGGTGTACTTGTTTCTAAGTGTTCTCATTCTTTTATAAGGTTGAATGCTTACAGATTCCACACATACTATTTCAATGTCTAAGTTTGGGTACCTTTCCATTAGGTTTAACTTCTAAGTTATCTGGGGGAACTTCCCATTAGAAGAAGTACAGTACAAAAGGATTTTCTTTATCTTTTGGTAACTAATTACATGAGGGAAAGAAATTTTGTGTTTTGTCAAGATAATCTCATATATTTTCTATCTTTGGGTTTAGAAAACTGAATGTTAAGAGTTGATTTTTAATATCTTTTAAGTATATATTTCTACTAATCAAATATTAAATATACTTAATATGTATTAAATATATTTAAACATAATTTGACTCTTTATATAAGTGAATGATTATTACCTCATAATAATCAGAGATCCTATGTTAATGAAGTATTTTTTTCAATTTTGATATCCTTGACATTTTTTTTTTTAAATAAAAGTTCTAAATTAACTGATTTGACGTTGATTTCTTTGTGGATCCCTGGAAATCAACAAAGGATGTGGTTTTCAACTTGCAGAGATGATGGCTAATTAGGCTCACTTTACATGAAAACTATTATCTAGTTGCAATATCATAAATTTTAAGTTGTTACATTGATATAGAAATGTTATTGATGTAAGTTTTCCAAGGGTTATGTAACATTGAGAAGTCCAGTGGTGAAATATTACAAGTTGCTGTTCTTAAAAAAGGGGAGGGGGGTCCTTTGGGTACTTTAGAAGAATTTTGAAATTGCTCCAGTGTTATCATTGCCTGAAATGATGAACTGGTTTGTAAAATACTGCTGTGCTTTTTCAAATCCTGTGGGCATCTCCTTTGCTAAATTGCTAAATTAGTTTAAAAATTTTAATTGTGATGATTTTGTCTTTGTCATCCACAGTTCTAGTTCTTCTCCAGGAGGATTTATATTTATAAGACCATTAAAAATAATTATAAATATGGGTTTCTCATGGAAGATCAATGGAGTAACCATGAATTTCTAGAACTCAAAAAAAGAAAAAAAAGACAGAATTGTGAAACTGCTGATGGAGATCAAAAGAGAAAAAAGAGAAAAAAAGTAATTATAGGACTCAATGAACTGGTGAAATTGGTGGGTTTTTTATGTCTTAGTTGAAACATTGTTCTGTTTTTTAAAATGATTTATTTATTTATTTGAAAAGCAGTGTTACAGAGAGGCATGGGTAGAGGTTTTCCATCCACTGGTTCACTCCCCAAATGGCCATAATGGCCTGGGCTGGGCCAATCTGAAGCCAGTAGCCAGCAGCTTCTTCAGGGTCTCCCACATGGGTGCAGAGGCCCAAGGGCTTCAGCCGTCTTCTACTGCTTTTCCAGACCACCCCAGAGAGTTGGATCAGAAGTGGAGCAGCCAGGACTTGATTTGAATCAGTGGCCATATGTGATGCCAGCACTGAAGGGGGAGGTTTATTTAACATTTTATGCCACAATGAGGGCAACCTCTAATAACATTTTCAATCATCTTCTGAACTGCAGCTTTTTTAAATTTCCATTTGATTGACTCCTTTCAAATTTCTAGTCATCTCCTGTAAGCTATTTTCTCCTCCTTTATTGTGGCCTGAGTTAGAAACGCTTATCTTTATGACATTGTGGCATAGTAGGTTAAGCTGCTGCCAGTGACAGTAGCAAACCATATGGGCACTGGTCTGATTCCTGGTGGCCCAATTCTGATCCATCTCCTAGCTAATGCACCTGGGAAAGTAGGAGAGGATGGCCCAAGTCCTTGGGTCTCTGTAGCCCTGTAGGAGACAAGGATGAAGCTTTTGTCTATGGCTTCAGCCTGGCCCATCCCTGTAGTGGTGGCCATTGGGGAAGTGAACCAACAGATGGAAGGTCTCTTTGTTTTCTCTTTCTGTAACTCTGCCTTTAAAATAAATGTTAAAAATGTTAATAAATAAATGTTAAAAAGTTTACCTTAGAAGCTTAGGATAATAAGAGGGCTTGATTATTTACATCTGTGTTTTTCAAGATTTCTTTATTTGAAAAATAAGATTTGGGTAGGGTAGCTTGATATCATGGTGCAGAGGCTGTTGGCTCTTGGTATGAGAAGCATCCCTTGCTATGTGCCAGAATCACAGCACTGTGTCTTTCCTACACAAAGTGGGGAGCACACACATTCCTTTCTCCACCCTACTCCACTCCACTCTCTGTTTCTTCTGCCTTTTTTGGCTCCAGTTTTCTCTGATTTTGTTTTTTGGTTTCTTAAGGTAGAATTGCAGATAACTTATTTTATATTTTATTATGAAATATAGATCTTTACAGCTATTTCCTCCTAAGCCTTGCTTTGCATTTAGTCCATTAATTTGTGTTGTACTTTGATTCTAATCATCTTATTTCTGAATTTCCCATGTGGTTTCTTCAATAACTCACTGTCCATTTGGGAATATGATTCTTATTTACTACAAGTTTGAAGAATTCTCTAATATCCTTCTGGTTTTGGGTTCTAGGGTTGTAAATTTTAAAAATTTTTTTTATTTGAGAAACTTAAGAGACAGAGCAAAAGGGAGAGAGAAGCACAGGGATCTCCTATCAACTGGCTTTCTCCAGCTACCACAATACCTGGACTCCACTAGCCTAAGGCCTAGCACTTAGAGCTCAGTATAGATTTCAACAGTTTGCAAAGACACACAATGTCTAAAGTACTCTTGAAGATGAGTTTTACTATTAATTCTCATAGCACAACTCATTAAGGACAGAGGTCCTACATAGGGAGTAAGTACACAGTGACTCCTATTGTTTTTAACAATTGACACTTTTATTTATGATGTCAGTGATCACCGAGGCTCTTGTCATGAGCTGCCAAGGCTATGGAAGCCTTTTGAGTCCACAAATTCTGTTAGTGTGTAGACAGGGACATAAGAAAAGTTGAAAGTTCTCTCTAGCCTTCTGAAAAAGGTACCTCCTTTGATGTCCTCTTCTTTCTACTGGGGTCTCACTCACCGAGATCATTTATGTAGATTTTTTTTTTTTTTTTTTGCTACAGTGCCTTGGCTTTCCATGCCTATAATGCTCTCATGGGATTTTTAGCTAGATCTGAAGGCCTTAAGGCTGATTCTGATATCATTGTGCTGCTTAGGGCATTTGTCATTCTGTGAGTCTGCTGTGTGGCCTGCTTCCCATGTTGCATCATTCTCTCCTTTTTAATTCTATCTATTGTTATTAGTAGACACTTGATCTTACTTATGTGATCCCTTTGAGCCTATCTATACGAACAGTTACACATTTGTTTTTTAAGGATTTATTTTTCTATTTAAAAGTCAGTTACACACAGAGAGAAAGAGAGGCAGAGAGAGAGAGAGGGAGGTCTTCTATCCGATGGTTCACTCCCTAGTTGGCTGTAACAGCTAGAGCCCTGCTGACCCAGAGCCAGGAGCTTCTTCCAGGTCCCCCACAGAGGTGCAGGGGCCCAAAGACTTGGGCCATCTTCTACTGCTTTTCCAGCGCATAACAACTAGATTGGAAGTGGAGCAATCGGGATCCAAACCAGTGCCCATATGGGATGCCAGCACTGGAGGTGGGACTTGAAGTGGTGCCCTTGTGGAATTCCAACACTGCAGATGGGCGGCTTTATCCTCTAAGCCATGGCCCCAGCCCCTTCTATATGTATTGTTTTCATCATTCAGCTTTTAAACTCTTTGTATCCCTGACTTTTTTTTGGTTTTTATTTTTTTTTTGGAGTTTTTATTTTATTTTTTTCTTTTGGGGCCACTGCTGTGTTAAACAAAGATAAACTGCAGCTTACAGCACTGGCATCCCATACAGGCCCAGGTTCAAGTCCCAGCTGCACCATTTCCAATCCAGCTCCTGGCTAATGTGCCTGGAAAAGCAACAGAAGATGACCCAAGTACTTGGACACCTGCACCCACATGTGAGACCCAGAATAAGCCCCTGCCTCCTGGCTTTGGATTGGCACAGCTCTGTTGTGGCCATCTGGAGAGTGAACCAGTGGATGGAAGATCTATATCTCTTCTCTCTAACTCTGCCTTTCAATTTAACAAATCTTTAAGAATCATTTTTGTCCTACTGTGAAATCATTAAACATTTCTCTTTATATTAATACACATTGTATTGTTCCTAGCTTTTTTAGTTTAGCCTGGTAATCTTTGCCTTTTTAAACTATTCAACTGAGAAATAGCTATAGATACCTGTGGGATACAATGTGATCATTTGATAAGTGTTAATTCTGGAATTGTCTAATCAGAATAATTCATTCATCACCTCCTATACTGTATGGTGAGTACTTTCAAAAGCCTCTCTTAACAAGCTGAAATATGAAATACAGCATTGTAGTTTCCATGCTTTGCAGTACAGCTGTAGACTCATTTCTCCTGTCTACTGGAGACTTTGTGCCCCATGACCAATGTATCTCCTTTGTCCTTAATCCACCATTTCTCCCCCTCACTCACTGGTAACCACAATTCTTCTCTACTGACATGCATTTCACAGGTGTACTCTGGCGAGCCCAAAACTGGGGACAGGGAGGTGGGGGCTTAGTCTCCACCCTTGGCCGAGGCAAGTACCCACAGGGCCCACTGGAGTGGTGGTGCTCTGCTATCCATGTCCCTCCCCCAGCTGCGATCAGGTGCCTAGGACAGCTGCTATTCTCCTATTGGAGCTCCCTCCCACAGCCGTGGCTGGGCACCCAGCTGTGGCCCAGGCAAGCCATTGCTGGGTGGGCATGGATAATGGATGGATGAGGGTGATGGGTGAGGGTGTGTAGTGCAGGAAGATGAAGATGGTTAGGAATCATGGGAAGCCAGCCCTTACCATGTTACCATTTTTCCTTTTAATAAATTTTGGAAATTATTAAAATCCCCTAAATGTCCCACCACTCTGGTAGGTAAATTTGCAGCTTCTACAGAATGCCACTATTTCTAAGGTATGCTAACTAGATACAATGTTGGGAGTTCTCTCACCTCATCCTAACTCATATTATGCTATACATAGTACCCATACTGAGTTAGATCTTGGAATTCTTGGTAATAAAGAAGCAATAGGACTCAGAATACTGACTCAAAAACCTAGAAAAGTGAAATATTTAAAAATCTGAACATTGCCAACCAAGGCTGCCTGATCACTCTGCAAAAGCCCACAACAGCCAGGGTTCTATCTATGAAAGCCAGGAGGTAGGGACTCCATGTGGGTTTCCATGCAGATGGCAGAAAAGCAAGTTTTTGAGCCATGATCTGTTGACTCAAAAGAACACTTGTGGGGCCGCTGCTGTGGTGTCATGAGTAAAGTCACCACCTGCATTGCCAGCAATCCATATGGGCATCAGTTTGAGTTCTGGCTGCGATTCCAATCCAGCTCTCTGTTATGGCCTGAGAAAGTAGAAGAAGATGGCCCAAGTCCTTGGGCCCTTGTGCCTGTGTGGGAGACCTGGAAGAAGCTCCTGGCTCCTGGTTTTGGATCACTGTAGCTCTAGCCATTGCAGCCACCTCAGGAGTGAACCAGCAGATGGAAGACCTCTCTCTCTGTCTCTGTGTCTCTGTAACTATGCATTTCAAATAAATAACTAAAACTTTAAAAAATAACTTAAGAAAAAAAATACTTGCAGTAAGTTGGTTTGGAGGTCTGAAATAGCCAGGACACACACCAAGCACTCTGATATATATGTGGTATGTCCAGAGAAGTAGCTTAACTTAGTGTATCATGATGCCTATGCTTCCAATGTCTGGTTTGTGCAGCCTGTGACCTAGGCCCCATGTGTCCAACAGGAAAGTCTCAGGATTTTCCACATGATTACTGTACAAGAAGGGAAACTCCCAAAGGCAAAATACTTTTCAAATTATGTTGGTATCATATTTACTGTTGTCTCATGGGCTAGAACAAAAGTGAACTGGAAAATGTCAGGGGTCCCTGTGGAGAAGAATTATATCAAGGTTTGTATACAGAGAGGAGTGTCATGGAACAGTTAAAGAAAGCTGTAATAGATATATCATGTCAATTTATCCTATACATATAATTGTGGCCAAAAACTAATTTTTAAGCTGTATACTTTAATGGAATTTTAAATACATAAAAGCAAGAGATGTTGTAAGGAAAACAGTTAATATTGCCTGACTAATTTTCTGTGTAATATAGATACTAATGAAAGCAGGTTTCTTTCTGGTGTACTGCTAATTAATTGGACAATCCTGATGAATATTATAAATTATTTAGGCAGTGACATTTTTTTTATGATTTATTTATTTATTTATTTAAAAGGCTGTTACAGAGAGGCAGAGGCAGAGGCAGAAAGAGAGATGGTCTTCCATCTGCTGATCACTCCCTAAATGGCCTCATTGGCTAAGGCTGGGCCAATCTGAAGCCAGGAGCCTGGAGATTTTTCCAAGTCTCCCATGTTGGTGCAAGGGACCTAAGGACTTGGGTCTCCTCTCCTCTCCTCTCCTCTCCTCTCCTCTCCTCCCCTTCCCTCTCTTCTCTTCCCCTCCCCCCTCCCCTCTTTTCATTTGACAGGTAGAGTTATAGACCGTGAGAGAGAGAGACAAAGAGAAAGGTCTTCCTTCCATTGGTTCACCCCGCAAATGGCCACCATAGCTGGAGCTGTGCCAATCTGAAGACAGGAGCCAAGTGACCCTTTCTGGTCTCCCACATGGGTGCAGGGGCCCAAGCACCTGGGCCATCCTCCACTGCCCTCCTGGGCCACAGCAGAGAGCTGTACTTGAAGAGAAGCAACCAGGATTAGAACCAGTGCCCACATGGGATGCCAGTCCTGCAGGCAGAGGATTAACCCAGTGTGCTACAGTGCTGGTCCCAGGACTTGGGTTTTCATCCACTGCTTTCCCAGTCCATAGCAGAGAGCTAGATCTGAAGTGTAGCAGGTAGGACTCAACTTGGTGTCCATATGAGATGCCCACACTGCAGCAGGAAGCTTCACCCACTGCTCCACAGTGATGGCTCTGACATTGATTTTTTTTTTACAGAATTGGTAACAAATTAATATTTTAATTAGCCTAACAATAGTTTCTGTTTAACCTGAGTGATTGGTAGAGTTGTGTGTGCTCTTTCAGGGTCTTTTCTGCTCTTCCCATGTGTAAATCCTATATTCCCCCATAGGGAGGGTACTTTATTTTTGTTGCCCAGCTAATATACCCACTTGTCTATATGCATTTCCTTCATGATCTTGCTAGCACAGTAGAATCTAGGAAGAATCTAGATCATTTGTCTCACCACTCTCTCTGAATAATTTCTCTTGCAGATAAGATCCTGGAGACATCTTCATGTACCCAAGTCTGACAAAAATGAATATATTGCCAGTAAGTTGTTTATTCCTCAGCTTCTTTCACATTGTATTTATTTTATTTTATTTTATTTTTGACAGGCAGTTAGAAAGTGAGAGAGAGACAGAGAGAAAGGTTTTCCTACCATTGGTTCACCCCCCAAATGGCTGCTACGGCTGGCACGCTGTACTGATCCGAAACCAGGAGCCAGATACTTCCTCCTGGTCTCCCATATGTGTGCAGGGCCCAAGGACTTGGGCCATCCTCCACTGCCTTCCCAGGCCACAGCAGAGAGCTGGGCTGGAAGAGGAGCAAGCGGGACAGAATCTGGCACCCCAACCGGGACTAGAACCCGAGGTACCAGCACCGTAGGCAGAGGATTACCCTAGTGAGCTGTGGTGCCGGCCTACATTGTATTTTTATTTTTTATTTTTTTGACAGGCAGAGTGGACAGTGAGAGAGAGACAGAGAGAAAGATCTTCCATTTTGCCATTGGTTCACCCTCCAATGACCGCTGCGGCCGGTGCACTGTGGCCGGCGCACTGCGCTGATCCGATGGCAGGAGCCAGGTGCTTCTCCTGGTCTCCCATGGGGTGCAGGGCCCAAGCACCTGGGCCATCCTCCACTGCACTCCCTGGCCACAGCAGAGGGCTGGCCTGGAAGAGGGGCAACCGGGACAGAATCCAGCGCCCTGACCGGGACTAGAACACGGTGTGCCGTTGCCGCAAGGCGGAGGATTAGCCTAGTGAGCTGCGGCGCCAGCCCCTACATTGTATTTTAAGATGTTTATAAGATTTGGTTAGATTGGAAAAGCATAAAGAAATATAATTCAGAATCAGGAAAAAGGGAGCATGGCTGCAAGATTTAAAGCCTTCTGAGCTGAATGCACATTGGTTTCAATTTTTTTTTATTGTCATAGCTACAAGATGTTTTACATGTTCTAGTTGAAACTTACAGAATTGAGGGGCTGGCGCTGTGGTACAGCAGGTTAAAGCTCTGGCCTGAAGCGTCGGTACTCCATATGGACACTAATTCTAGTCCTGGCTATTCCTCTTCCAATCCAGCTCCCTGCTATGGCCTGGGATAGTAGTAGAAGATGGTTCAAGTCCTTGGGTTCCTGCATCCATGTGGGAGATCTAGAAGAAAGTCCTAGATCCTGGCTTCAGATGGGTGCAGCTCTGGGTGTTGCGGCCGTCTGGGAGGTGAACCAGTGGATGGAACACCTCTATATCTGTCTCTACCTCTCTTTAGCTCTTTCAAATAAATAAAATAAATCTTTTTTAAAAGAGTTACAGGCAGAGTGGACAGTGAGAGAGAGAGAGAAAGGTCTTCCTTTTTGCCATTGGTTCACCCTCCAATGGCCGCTGCGGCCAGCGCTGTGGCTGACGCATCGCGCTGATCTGATGGCAGGAGCCAAGTACTTACCCTGGTCTCCCATGGAGTGCAGAGCCCAAGGACTTTGGCCCATCCTCCACTGCAATCCTTGGCCACAGCAGAGAGCTGGCCAGGAAGAGGGGCAAAAGGGACAGAATCTGGTGCCCCGACTGGGACTAGGAAAAAAAAAAAGAGTTACAGGGAGAGGAGAGAAAGAAGTCTACAATCCACTCTTTAACCCTCTAACTGACCAAAAGTGTGGAGATGGGCTGATCCAAAGAGAGGAGCCAGGAGCATCCTCTGGCTCGCTGGCTCCCGGGTTCCCACATTCACCATCCAGGAATCCCTGCAAAAAGAGCTGATAGGGCAGGGCCATTACCAGGGGCTGCTGCGGGGACACACCCACTCCTGACACCAACTGGGTGGTCCACGCGAGATGAGTTGGTGTGGGGATTCGGGCTGTCCCACCATGGGCTCCTGAGCCTGAGAGTACACCCATGGGCCCTCTTGGGTTGCCTGCAGGAATGGAGTCTGGGCACTCCTGCTTTCCTGGAGGCACAGAGATGGGAGGTCTTGAGAGTACACCCATGGGCCCTCTTGGGTTGCCTGCAGGAATGGAGTCTGGGCACTCCTGCTTTCCTGGAGGCACAGAGATGGGAGGTCTTCCCTGGCCAATCAAGAGTTGGCACACTTCTGCCCCCTGTGTTCCTGCCCTCCAGAGTGTGCTTAGGAGCATGCGGCTCCCCTCAGCTTCCATCTGCCATTCACCCAAGGAGCCTGCCGGACCCCTGGCTCTAGGAGGCTGCCCAGCCAAAGCTGTCCACTGGCCCTAGGTACTAGCTAGATGCAGCGGCCACCCGCAGTAACACACCTGCGGGCATCCCCAGGACCCACAAAAATTCTCTGAGGGAAACCGGAGCCCCTGGCAGTGTCCTCTTTTCCATCTCTGGCTACCGGACTTGCACGTCCGCTGTCCAGGATTCCTCCTCTTGTTCCCGGGCTCCCGGGCTCACGCGAGCTCCATCCAGGATTCCCTGCATTAAGAGCTGGTAGGGAGGAGCCATTCCAGAGGGCTGCTGCGGGGACACACCCACTCCTGCCACCCACTTGGGCGGTCTACACCAGAAGAGTTCGGAGCTGGGGTAGGGGCTGTCCCACCCTGGTCTCCTGAGCCAGAGGACACATGCGTGGGCCCTCTCCGAGTACCTGCAGGGCCATAGTCTGGGCAATCCCGAGTTTCTGGGCGCTCTGGCTCTCTGGCTACCTGGCTCACGCATGCTCAGTCCAGGACTCCCCACAGGAAAGGCTTGTCTAGGGAGGGGCCGCTCCCAGGTTGGGGGGCGGCTGCTGCTGGGACACACCTACTCCTGACGCCCACTGGGTGGTCCACGCGAGATGAGCTCGGTGCTGGGGTACGGGCTGTCCCACCGTGGCCTCCTGAGCCCGAGCGGACACGCGTGGGCCCTCTCCGAGGGCCGGCAGGGCCGCAGTCTGGGCCCTCCTGCGTTCCTGGGCGCCTCCGAGGTTCCCCCCACCTCCCTTGGATCCCCGGGTCATACCAACATTCTCTGAGGACAGTTCGAGCCCACGGCAGCGTCCTCCTCTGGCTCTCTGGCTCCCTGGCTCATGCATGTGCAGACCAGGACTCCCTGTGCTAAGAGCTGGTAGGGCGGGGCTGTTCCTAGGGGCTCCTGCTGGGACACACCTACTCCTGACGCGCACTGGGTGGTCCACGCGACATGAGCTCGGTGCTGGGGTACTGCTGTCGCACCGTGGCCTCCTGAGCCCGAGCGGACACGCGTGGGCCCTCTCCGAGGGCCGGCGGGGCCGGAGTCTGGGCCCTCCTGCGTTCCTGGGCGCCTCCGAGGTTCCCCCCACCTCCCTTGGGCCGGGCCGGGCCGGGACGAGGCGCAGCCCCAGGAACCCTGTGCCACCTGGCTGGCCCGTGGAGGCCCCGCCCACGGGCAGGGCAGCAAGCTCCAGAGCCCCACGGCCGCTGCGCCCGACCCTGCAGCCTGCTGGCCGGCTGGAGCCACAGACACGGCAGGTCTCCCCCGGCCAAGCCAAGAGTTGGCAGCGCGCTCCCCAAAAGCCTCCGCTGGCAGTTCCGGGAGGATGCAACTGGCTGCCCCTGGCTGGCTCCCTCCCGCTGGTCGGGCAATGCAAAGCCAAACCCACTTCTGCCCCCTAGGGTTCCTGGCCTCCAGGACGAGATTGAGCTTAGGAATCGGAGCGGGCGGGCCCCCTTTGGCTTCCGTCTGCCCTTCGCCCGCCCGCCCGCGGAGCCTGCCGCAGCCAGCCCTGGCTCTAGGAGGCTGGCCAGCAGGCACTGCCAACTGGCCCCAGGTGCTAGCTAGAGGCAGCGGCAGGCCTCGAGAGCACACCTGCGGGCGCCCCCAGGCCGCACAAGCATTCTCGGAGGGAAGAGGAGCCCCAGGCAGCAGCTCCTTCCATCTCGCGCATGCGCAGTCCAGGACTCCCCACAGGAAAGGCTTGTCTAGGGAGGGGCCGTTCCCGGGGTGGGGGGCGGCTGCTGCTGGGACACACCTACTCCTGACGCCCACTGGGTGGTCCACGCGAGATGAGCTCGGTGCTGGGGTGCGGGCTGTCCCGCCGTGGCCTCCTGAGCCCGAGCGGACACGCGTGGGCCCTCTCCGAGGGCCGGCAGGGCCGCAGTCTGGGCCCTCCTGCGTTCCTGGGCGCCTCCGAGGTTCCCCCCACCTCCCTTGGATCCCCGGGTCATACAAACATTCTCTGAGGACAGTTCGAGCCCACGGCAGCGTCCTCCTCTGGCTCTCTGGCTCCCTGGCTCATGCATGTGCAGACCAGGACTCCCTGTGCTAAGAGCTGGTAGGGCGGGGCTGTTCCTAGGGGCTCCTGCTGGGACACACCTACTCCTGACGCGCACTGGGTGGTCCACGCGACATGAGCTCGGTGCTGGGGTACTGCTGTCGCACCGTGGCCTCCTGAGCCCGAGCGGACACGCGTGGGCCCTCTCCGAGGGCCGGCGGGGCCGGAGTCTGGGCCCTCCTGCGTTCCTGGGCGCCTCCGAGGTTCCCCGCACCTCCCTTGGGCCGGGCCGGGACGAGGCGCAGCCCCAGGAACCCTGTGCCACCTGGCTGGCCCGTGGAGGCCCCGCCCACGGGCAGGGCAGCAAGCTCCAGAGCCCCACGGCCGCTGCGCCCGACCCTGCAGCCTGCTGGCCGGCTGGAGCCACAGACACGGCAGGTCTCCCCCGGCCAAGCCAAGAGTTGGCAGCGCGCTCCCCAAAAGCCTCCGCTGGCAGTTCCGGGAGGATGCAACTGGCTGCCCCTGGCTGGCTCCCTCCCGCTGGTCGGGCAATGCAAAGCCAAACCCACTTCTGCCCCCTAGGGTTCCTGGCCTCCAGGACGAGATTGAGCTTAGGAATCGGAGCGGGCGGGCCCCCTTTGGCTTCCGTCTGCCCTTCGCCCGCCCGCCCGCGGAGCCTGCCGCAGCCAGCCCTGGCTCTAGGAGGCTGGCCAGCAGGCACTGCCAACTGGCCCCAGGTGCTAGCTAGAGGCAGCGGCAGGCCTCGGGAGCACACCTGCGGGCGCCCCCAGGCCGCACAAGCATTCTCGGAGGGAAGAGGAGCCCCAGGCAGCAGCTCCTTCCATCTCGCGCATGCGCAGTCCAGGACTCCCCACAGGAAAGGCTTGTCTAGGGAGGGGCCGTTCCCGGGGTGGGGGGCGGCTGCTGCTGGGACACACCTACTCCTGACGCCCACTGGGTGGTCCACGCGAG